CTTTGCGTGCTTGTGGTTCAAGGCGACGACCGTGCGGCCGCTGTCACTGCGTATGCCCGACACGATCGTGATTGAGCAAGGTCGGTTCCAGCAGTGGTTCTTCACCTCCAAGCGTGGCGAGGTCAGCCGGCGTGCATCATGGCAAGAGTGCTTACCTTGGTCATTAGATTCTGCGGCGAAAGCGAGACAAGCTCACAAAGGACCGCGTCTTTCGCTTCTTCCAGGAAAGGCTCACGGCTGGCATCGCAGCCGTGTTTGTCCACGCGGTCACGACCGACGACGAGCGCGTTCTGTACACGGAGCATCTGAGTCTCCCGGCCCTCGGTCCCTATATCCGTCTTGTACAAGAGGAGTGTCGCTGATGCGATTGGCTCTAGAGTCGCTGCTCTTCAAGGTGTCGACTGTCGAGCATGGCTTGCTACAGACATTTGTCGTGCCCAAGTCGGGCTACAACACTGCGATCGAGTCGGTCTACTCGCACGACGGCTGCAGCTTCCTCGCGACGCGCGCCACCAACGTCCACCTCATGATCAACCACATGGTGTCGCTCAACGACCGCGTCGCAACGTTTGAAGGCGCCGCCAACGTCACCACCAAGAGTCCGATAAATGCGCGTCGTTTTAAAGTCTCACGCTTCCACGTAGAGCCGATGGCGAGCCCGACGCTGCTCGCAGAGCTCAAGCGCATCAACGACGACATCGTGGATCAGATCCACCTCGCGATTGGCTTGGAGGCGACGCGCATGACGCTCTACTTCAAGGTAATATTCCTTGCCCTTGCAAATATTGCATTGCCAGGAATTTCAACGACATGTAGATTGGGCTCGACAACCACCTCTACTTTTTGTACCCGTCGACCATTCTCTTTCAAAACGAAGACGTCTTGCCGCCATTCGAGCTCGCACTGCACCCTGGCGTACTCATGACCGTGGCGCCGTCCCCCAACACCCACCGACGCCGACGCAAATGCCCCGGGTGCCACCGCCTTGACCGCGATGCGAGCGAGAGTCAAGTGACATTCCTCGTGGGTGGCCACTTGCTTTTGTGTCAACGTGACCGTTTCCGGCTAGGTGACGTACAAAGCCATCATAGCCGCCCACGCGCAAAACTCGGACGACTCGCTCGAGCTCCACCAGTATACGATCCCGCACATCATTCAGTCGACAAATACCGCGTTAAGTGTCGAAAAGTACTTGGCACTGACCAAGACCGCGTCTTTTCTGTACCCCGTTTGACATTATTGTAGATTTTCTCAGGTTGATAAATAGATACAAGACGACCGAGGTGTGCGAAACGTGCTGCCGCTCCATCAACGCCAAAGCCATGCTGACGCCACAGCATGCGCTTCCTGCGGTTCAGCCCACGACAGCGCGACGGTCGACGCGCCTCAGCATCGGTACCGCATGCAGCTTGAATGTAGCGCGATACCATGCGTCCCTAGTGCATCGACGAGCGACCTCGGCCACACCGCGGCTCTCCGTGTTGCGACCTGCCGAGGCCACACCCGTTCTGCCATCCCCCAACGTCGCGCTCGTCCAGCCATTGCGGCCGTCGAGCGCTGCCAGCACTGTCCTTCGCAGCGCACGCAGACAAACGCTTGCATCGACGTCAGCGTCCACTGTCCCAGGTACAGCCGTGCGATACCAAGCTATGTGCATGACGTGGCTTTCTCAGAGGCCCCCATGGCTGGTGCTATTCACTTGAAGTCGAAACCTCGGCCCAACTCTGCAGCGTGCTTGCTGCGTCCTTCGCCGACTTCGGTCCGTGGCATCTCGACCTCTCAAAGTTAGAATGCCTGCCGTAGACGCCAAGGACGTCGGTTCCACCAACGACAATCTCTGGCAGCTTGGAGAAGCTTCGAATGCAGCTTGTCCAGACGACATCCGAGCACACGCCATCGCTGGAAACGCTCTTGATAGAGCATGAGATGCACCCGCAGCACACGTGCGTGCACATCAATTACCTCTCGACGCTGGCGACCTCGCTGGGTATCGTCTTGACGACGGATGAGGTACGCGCCATTGCGTAGATTGGCGCCTCTTATGCGGTGGGATCTAGTGGAAGGCGATTGCTATGTACTGTGAGCCCCACACGGACCTGGCGCTGGTCGATCTGCACATTCTCGACGAGCTTCTCCGCCTGCCACGCGCACCGCAGCCGGCGCGCCCCCAGTCTTGCGGCCAGAACACTCGACCCCAGCCACCGAGTTATCATGCGTTGCGTGCGCTCGGTGCCTTTGTCTCGTCCCATCGCCTGACAA